AACGAGGGAGCTGCACGAGACGGGAGATGTGGGGGAGGTGCGTTGAGGAAGGTCTCTCGGACGGACCCCTTTTTTTGCTAAATCCAACGGCCAGAATTATTGGCATCCGGTGGCTAGCGCTTGACAGGCCCAAATTTGGGCCGGTGCGCCGGCGCCTAGTACTACCCATTTCAAAAAGCCCCGGAACTGCTGCGTCCGCTGCCCTGTGGAGGACCCCTCCTGACGAGCCCATTGTTAGAGGTATCTGCTCCATGCACAACCCAGCCCAGAAGGCTGCCAGATGGTCAGACCAAGGAGCTGAAGCAACCAACAAACCCAATGGTCAGCGTTGAATTTGATTTCATTGAATCTAGCATGTGAAGCTATAGGAAAATGTTGTTCGAGTTGGGAGTTTACCAATCAATACGGAACGGCTGAGAGTTTGCAACAGCATACACTTTAACTATCATATCAAGAGGCAGGATATAACAGTAAATTACATGTAACAAAAGTTGTTTGTGAGAGTTTGCAACTCATTAGTAGTAAATTTGTTAGCGTCCCACAGAACATGATAATGATCAGGATGGCTTGTTCCCTGATAGAAATCGACACTGGGATCAGCCAGCAATCAGGGCATTCCATCAACGAAAACTTGCAAATAGAGGAAAGCCAACCTGAATGCTAACATGACTACACAAGTAGAAATCAAACGCTGTTGGTCGGCAAATTTTCGAACGAATAACAGGGCCTAGCATTATGAACATAAAAATGGTCAGATTCAACACTCGGGTAAGCACAAAAAACATGTTTGCACAAAACAACTAATCAGGATGTATGTTCCTGCTTCTACCAACAGTATGCTTATCATTGCGGCGATGCCGTTTCTGGACAACCAGAAAAGTAATTGGAGGCTCATAATTGGAAGCACGGCCCTAGCAACATAGGAAATGTTAGGCAGAGAAAAAATGTTGAATGTTGACAAACAAGTATGGTTAGTTACCCTAGGAAAAGTGTAGTCAAATAAACTCTCCGATGTTCGTACCAGGAAGAATTGAAGGATCCAAAGAGACGAAGACGAGAGCATCACCAATACGAAAGAGGCAGGCAGCTAAACTGGTGGGTGTGCCTGGTGATGAGTCAATAGCAGTTCGTGAGTATAACATCACATTGTTCTATCAGAATTTAAGAGCTACATTGTTCACAAATTACATACAAAGATCATGTTTAGTAGAACAGGGCAAGACCTGGGCATAGCATACTCAAAAATGTCAGAGGTCAATACTACAATTGAAACAACAGACCATAATATTGGCAGAAGCCAAACAAAAAAGGCGTTTAGCATTTATCATTCAGATATGTGAACTCAAATTGAATAGACTATTTATTCATCCCATAAATACACACAACAGTACAGTGCACTAAAATGCAGTTTGGTTGATTCTGAAGAAAAAAATATCCTGTTTGGTTCAGCGATTTCCGAACGGAATCCCATTACATTGGTATGTTGACTCTTATTATACTAGTTCCTCAACATAACACATGGGATCCAGAACCATTTCTTAGAAGGAACCAGGGCATGAACCATGCATTACCAACCTCTAAAATTCTTGAACAAAACAAAACATCGCGTAACAACTATTCCAGTAACAAACCATGCCAAAAAGAGAAAATCACATCCATCTTGCTAGTGATAAAAAGTTGACCACTTTTCAGAGGTGCATTGCATGAAAAGGTGAGCATTTGTAGTTTGTCAACTACAACAATTCCAGTTCAAGGTACTAACTGTTCATTCTGTTAATGTGGAAGAAAAATGTAAATCAAATTATAACAAATCAGCGTGTCTTTGAAAACTTTGATTAGCCCAGATTAACATTGAATGCCAGAACATCAGATTGCTAAGAAAAATAGAGGTTCCCAAAGAATGACTAGTAAATGAATTAACTGCCTCAAAACAATTGTGAGCCTCTCCTTATGTTCAATATTGTACTGCCAAAAATAAATTTGGAATAACATAGACAGTGCAGACATTTTTCATAACTTACACTAAAAAGGTACTACGCAGGTCAAGAACGCTGGTTCAAACAAGAACTATGAACAGAACCAATCAGAGGAAGCGAACTGAATTAGCAGTAACATGCCTTAAGGCCATACTATCAGACGACCATATACATATTTACTCAGGCTCCAGCAAAATGTTTCATCGGTTGATACCATGACTCTTAGCATTTCTTCCAAAATTCAAATTATAGATCACATACTGCCAATAGTGCAATGCAAATTATAGATCACATATTGCAAGACTGGAGAACAGGATTTAGCTCACAAAATTGAACCATTTGCAGCATGAAGGTACTAACAATAGATGGGCACAAAGAAATTACAGGGCACAGGATATGCAGATCAGTCTCTATTAGGGGTGGACGCGGTCCGGGCCGGTCCGGTCCCTGACCGAGCCATGCTTTGGACCGGCCGCGGCCGGTCCGGTCCGGACCGGACCGAAGTGGCTGGCGTTTCATATTTCCAGGACCGGACCGGCTGCAGCAAAGCTCGGTCAAGACGGAGAGGACCTTCTGAATTTGTATCCTGGGAGTGCGCTGGGAGGATTTTTGGCTCTGTTTAGCCACTGTTTAGTCATCCTTTTATATTTTGTAAAGCAAATGGACCAAGAATACAGCATATATGAGACAAATTTTGAACATTTAGAATGCTTGTTTCAAAAGAGGATGGAATCGACAATAAATAAGCAAGTTTTGCTATAGGTTTACCATGACAAGCTGAAGAATGGATGAAAGATGATATAAGAAAATTTTGGAATTCAGTACTAACTGCTAACAATGGTGTATTCAACACTCAATAGATCAGTACGAACTGCTAACAATTCAGTACTAATTGTTGAAAATTTTGGCACTGAATACCTCGGTCAGAGATGGGATAAGGCAAAGGAGAGGACAGAGGAGATCGAACAGGTGCAGGGGAGACGGCGTGCAGTTGCAGGCACATCCTCCCCCTCCTCCAGCTTCGTGGTCATCTCAAATCGACAGCAGCGAGCCGGCGAGGAGGTGGTCGACGGCGGACAGGTGGAGACGGCGGCGGTCGACCCTCAACTCGACGGCAGGCAGCTGCACGCGCTGCGCTCCCTCCTCTTCTCCTCTTTCCCTCCAGTACTACGGCTTCGTGGTCTACGGCGAGGTGGTTGACGACGGCAGCACCAGGAGGTGGTCGACGACGGCAGCCGGCGGAGGCGGCGCTCGACCGCTCGGGGTCGGGGGAGGGGAATGGACGGGGTTGCGTACTTGAACTCTCTACTTTGCCTGTATTGCCGTCTGCGCTAGGCTCTATATGGTTTTTATTTTTTTTGAGGCACTGGGCTCTATATGGGTTGCTGTGGGCTGTGGCCTGTGAGCTGGGCTAAATGTCGCGGTCCGAACGAGCGGACCGAGCTTTGACCGGACCGGACCGAGAAAATTTCGGTCCATTTTCTAGGGACCGGACCGACGACTTTTTTCAGCGGGCCTGGACCGAGCCGGCCTGCACCGAGCGGGCCGCGAGCCGGACCGTTTCGTCCACCCTAAGTCTCTATGGTAAAGTATACTGGGCACATGCCTAGTCAAGAACAGTACAGCCTAGATTAACAAGACTCCCAACCAGACACAACTGCCGCAACAATCTCACTACTCACCCACATTCTTCACGGCCTCCCGCCACACCCTCTCCATGCGGTGCCTCTCTGTGAGCTGACGACCTCTTGCCGCATGCCCTTCTTGGCTGTGGCCCCGAGGGGCTGGAGAAACACCGTCACAGTACCTGTGGTGCCTAGGTTTGATGCGCTTGTGGATCTCGTAGCAGGTGGGTGGCTTGTCGAATAGCTCCCGGACGACGGGGAGCTTCTTGGCTGCCCGGACCCGGCCGAAGGGGACGGGGATGGCGACGATATTGCCGTTGAGGACGTCGGTCATGGGCACGGCGTAGCAGTCGCGGCCGGCGGCGGCCGTGTCTTGCTGAGCTTGGGGCGAGAGAGGGTTTGGGGAGGAATGAGCGGAATTTCCTATTTGCGCATTTTGCGGCAAATAGTCGGCGCGACGCACAGGACGCAGCTCACCCTGGGCCGGCCCATTTGAGTGGTTTCGCTTCGCGATATTAAAAGACCGCAAAAATGGTGGCTATAGAGATCGAACAGACGACCTGTTGTATAAGTACGCGCCGCGGTAGCCACCACGCCTAGCTTCTGGATGTTTAAGGAAAACAATGCTAAGTTTTAAGAAGTTAAAGGCGACAACAAACTTAAAACCAGTTTACGTTAATTCAAAAAACTTTTATTCCTTCTACTGGTTCTTTCTGGTTTTTCTTCACAGTCTTATTCTGTTCTTTCCTTTTTTCACGTTTTTTTTATTTTTTTACTTTTTAATATTTTCTCCTTTTTCTTTTTAAGCTTTTCAAAAATGTTCTTTGTGCATATTTCTGAAATAGTGTTCACATTTTTAATTTTTTTTTCACAATTTCGAAAAATGTTCCTGATTTTTTTGTTTGTTTTTTTTCTTTCTTTTCCATTTTTTTTCTTATCTTTTTTTAAAAATAAATTCAAAATATTCAAAAAAATTCGTATTTCATAAATTTTTCAGTTTTCGAAAAAATGTTCTCCAATTTAAAATTTGTTCCCGTTACACAAAAAATTTCAAAACTTTCAAAATGCAGAAAATATACCGGATTTCAGAAAATGTTCGCGTTTTCATAAAATGTTCGCGCTTCCAATTTTATTCGGTATTTTTCAAAATTGTTCTCTATTTCAAAATTATTTTTATTCTCAAGATTCAAAAAAATGTTTGTGCTTTAAAAAATTGTTCACGCTTCCAAATTTATTCAGGATTTTTTCAAGATTGTTCTCTATTTAAAAAATTTTCCTCGAGATTCAAAAAATGTCTGTGCTTTAAAAAATTGTTTGCGTTTCCAAATTTGTTGGGGAGTTTTCAAAATTTTTTCTCAAGATTCAAAATATGTTTGTGCTTTAAAAATTGTTCTCCATTTCTAAATTTGTTCTGAAGATTCAAAAAATGTTTGTGCTTAAAAAAATTGTCCGTGCTTCCAAATTTGTTCTCAGTTTCAAATTTTGTTCTCAAGATTCAGAAAATGTTTGTGCTTTAAAGAAATGCCACAAATTCCAAAAATGTTTGGGAAATTCAGAAGTTGTTTGTGTTTCCAAATTTTGTTTTGAAATTTGAAAAATTGTTCCTGTTCAGTTTTTTGGGTAGTTTAAAAAATGTTTCCGTTCTAAAAAATCAGTTTGCGTCTTCAAAATTCGTTTGTGTGTTGAAAAATGTTTGAGTCTTCTAAAAAATTGTAGAAAAACACTAATAATGTTCGCGTTTGATAAAACATTCACGTTTTGTTTTGCTATTTGGAAAATCGTAAAGGATGTTTTTCAAACTGTCTTATACTTTCTTTAGTTCTTGTAGGTTTCCGCTGTGGTTTAGTCAACTGAGGTCGTCCATCCTATTGGCTAGTAGCATGCGATTGCAAGTCGGCAGTGCTGTGTTCGATTCCCAGCCATAACGCTGTGCTTTTTTTTAGCAAATTATCACCTTGTATTTCCAGCGCACTCTCCAACAGGCTGGCCCAATTGGCGCACCTCCGCGACGTGCTCGGGTCGCCCCTGTGCGTCGGCGCCCTATTGGACGCAACGAGCGTCCAGTAGGAGCTCCTGGGATGAGCAGAGCTGGACAGTCGGGCGTGTGTTCTCGATTGAGATTTGCGGGCCACTGCAGCTTTCGTATCGAGTTGTTCTCCTCTTGGGCGTGTGTGCGATACAAAGCTGGCCAAATGGGCCCGGTCCAGGTCGTGCCGGCCCGATAGCAGTTCCATAAATCGAATTTAGAAGAACTCTAGCAGTTCCATAAAGGGTCTATTTAAGAATACATCTAGATGTGACATGCATCTAAGCTGATGTCCACTCTGTTTGTGATATATTTTTCTGTCCTAGTTTTATTTGTTTCTTGTTTATTTTTGCTGCATTATATATTTGTGGAAGCTTAGATGTGACATCCTTAAAAAACATCTGGATGTGAATTAATTAGACAAACTGTTCCATAA